TAATTTTTTTATGACTTTCATTTATTCATAAATTAATAATAGTAAAAACTATTATTATTTCTAATTATTTTTAAAATATTTAAATATTTTCTAACTGTTTTAATTTTTTTCTACAAAAAGATAGAAAAAAATTAAATATTTTAAACAAATAAAAAATATCATAAACTAAATTATAAAAAAAATCAGAGATTAAATTATAACAAATGTTAAACTTTATATAATTTAATAATTTATCCTAATTTTTTATTTATTTATAAAAAAATTGATATATTTTTTTGTTATACTAATATTTTGTTTTTTTTTTAATTAAGGATCATGTTTTTAAATGATTTTGTGACTTTATGAATCAATTCTTTTAAAAAAATTAAAACTAAACTGTTAGATAATTGATAGTCTAACTATTAAATTAACAATTATATGTAATATAATGTATATATTTTATTTATTATGTTTTAATTATTCAGTTGATTTAATGAATTATCCCTTTAAAATTATTTCTACTAAATTTAAGTTTTACTTAAAAAAAATAAAAAGTACATCACTTGACAAACAATCAAGAGGCTAATTAAATAATTTATTACTATTTTAGTTATCAAATGGTTAATTAATGTATATACTTCATAAAACTTGTCGTTTTACATCTGAATATTTTAAATATTAATAATTTATATTATTATTATTTATATTATTAAACTACTGCATGTAGTTATATTTTATTATTATTATAAATTATGTTTTATTAATATAATTATTATTCTTATAATTACTTGCTATTGTAATTTACAGTGTTATCTTTTTTATCCCATTAATGATTACTATATTATATTATTGTTTTAACTATTATAACTGTAAATTTATAGAAAAATTCAGTTATCTAATCTTTTCTACTCTTATAAAGTTGATAAATGGGGGAAAAAACTCAAATAGTGGGCACGATTGTGTAGAAATTTTGTTATCAGGCCCAATGATGGAATGATCGGGAAAAAAAAAAGGTAAACTCATACCTTGTCCGGTATGAGCGCCAAGACATTAAACTTCAATACTCCGTCCGGTATGAGGGTGAAGCGGGTTGTCCCTATACTCCGTTCAGTATGAGCGCTGAATCACCAAGTCTTCATACCCCATCCGGTATGAGACAACGTTCACGGTAGGGTTCCCCATATACCCGATTCGTCCACCATTTTTCAGGATATCTAGTAAGACTGTCATTCCATCTGTTTATTTGATGACACCCTTTTCCTGTTTTCCTTTAGTCTCTATTATCAAATCAAACATAATCACATAAACAAATAAACATGCATCCGGTAATGCAATTATATCTCAAATTCCAAATCAAACAATGGTCAGGTAAGACAATAATACGTGCATTTAAACCATAAAATAGATAAATCAGATACTATCATTCTTTTAGACAGTAAAATAAATTAATAGAAAACAATGTCCGGTTCAGCCTCCATTAGCAATCCGTAATTAGTCATGCACATCTATTTAATTTGTACAAAATATCATATTATTATTTATTTAAATTTCAATTCTATAATAAGGAATAGGGAATAGGGTGAGGGGTCCTTACTCGATTTGATGTCGAAAAGCTAAACGGTTTACTACGCCTACGGGCGGTCCCTGGGTTCTCTGAAATTTTCTCGTGGAACTGAAACGCTCTTATAGTACCTACAAATGTTCCAAATAAACCCAAAATCACTCACAGAGCCCACTCGGCCAATTTCAGAAATCTGGCATTGCAGCTTCGCCGTGCTCCGACGACCGACGGCGGTCCGCCTTGGGTCGGTCGTTTTTGACCGAATTTGACCGATTTTGCATCGATTCCTGTTAGCACACACGCTAAAAGGCCTCGGTGGGTCGAAAAAATACGAAAAACTGAAACTCACCAGCGGCGAGTCTCTCTAGTGCGGCGGCTCCTTCGGCTCACGTTGCAGTTGGGTGTTGCGCTTGGGTCAACCTGTAGATAAAAAGATGGTGATCACAACGGTGGAAAAATTACGTGAAACGAGAATAAAAAAGGGCCTCATCGGAGGCAGTTTGTGAAATTTCTCGCGGCAGCGCCGTCAGGCATCGTCGGTGTTTTTCAGCCAATTGGCCGGTTTT